TTCACGACAACGCCCGGCCCCACCCCCACACGGCAAATGTCACTCGTAAAGTTCTTGAATCTTTTAAGTGGGAGTTGTTTCCTCATCCGCCGTACAGTCCCGACCTGGCACCGAGCGACTTCCACCTATTCCCAGCAATGAAGAAGTGGCTGGCTATGCAGCGTTTTGTTTTTGATGACGACGCACAGCTGCAAGAAGAGGTAACGAAGTGGTTGAAGGCGCAGGCGGCCGAATTTTTCGACGAAGGAATTTCCAAGCTCGTACATCGCTACGATAAATGCCTTAATTTGTATGGTGACTATGTAGAAAAGTAGTATTTGAGTGTGGCTTTCATCTGTATATAATAAAATTTGTTTCCTATACTTTGTTTATTTTTTTATTCCAAAACGTAATCTACTTTCTGGATAGCCCTCGTATATATATTCTAATATATATTCTTTCCGGTCCCTATACTTAATAAAATTTTATATTCATTATGAAAAATGAAGCACAAAAAGTTTAACTCTTATACTACAAAAATTGATTCCCTCTTCATAAAACCGTCACTGGTTATAAAGCAGTGTCAGATCCATTGTATAGATTATAAGTGCCATAGATTAAAACCTTACTTTCATATTGTAAGAGGTATATCGACACCAAGGATTCTCAGCGGGGTCGGTTTTGACACCCTGAGTGGCCAATACAATTTTCAAGGGGATCAGGGACGATCAAAGGGTTGATAGCCAAATTTCAGCATCAGTTGATTTTGTAGAGAGATTAGGTATATTTGAAGCAGGGAGACGTGAAAAATGAGCAATGGCCTCGCCGGGACTCGAACCACGGACCTCTCGAATCGCAGCGAGTGTGCTGACCACTACACCACGAAGGCATGTTAAGAAGGCGGAAGGAATACCTTATATATTTCCCCTTTTAAAGGGCGATTGGGAATATTAGGGGACGCAATCGCCAAATTCTGGTAGTGGAGAATCATCATTCACCACCTTTTTTAGTTCGGGTGCCACTGTAGAGACGTTAGGTATTTTTGAAGCAGGAAGACATGAAAAATGAGCAGTGCCCTCTCTGGGACTTGAACGACAGACCTCTCGAATGCGCGCCGAGCGTGATGACCACTAATCCAAGAAGGCATGCTAAGAAGGCGGGATAAATACCTTATAATCTGTATAATCAAGATCCCATTGATTAAATCCCATTGATTAATCCCAAAAATATATTAATAAAATTGATAACTAATTGCTTATTGAAGTAAACCTATATCGCGCAGTAAGGAAGAAATCACATAAAATAAATACAAGGGAAAAATATCTAAAATTACTTAATATATTTTAAAAACCAATACTAGTTTTTTAATATACAATTTTTTATTTTTATTTCATGTGCAATATAAAAGAAAATGCAGGAGCACGACGTACTGAATGTGCCAGCATAGGTTATAGAATTGCTGAATGGAATATTTGATGATGTAAGAAAAGCTGATTCCATTGAAGTAATATATCCAAGCACAAGTCTTAGTCAAAACACGCATGTACGTTAAATTTTGGAAAAGTCTAAGTTTGGAATTTAAAAGTCACTGTTTGTACCTAGTGAAAGCAGCCTTTAATGAAGCCAATAATTTGCAACGAAAGCAAGAAACAGGCTGAGTATTTTTGAACGAGATGATTCAAGAATTAAGTTAAACACTTTTACATCAAATATTAAGAAATAAACTGCATCGATACATCAAGCCATCTCATTTATTAACATCTAACTTTTGTGCAACCGGAATCTGTGATTTTATTCCTAAAAATTTTATGTTTTTTAAATTGAAAATAATAATAATTGAAAAAATAATAAGCACTAATATTTTTTGTTTCAAAATTTTTTCTAATTTTCTTAGTCTTATTGGTATTTTTAAGTTACTTATTTGCAATTATTTGTATTACGACTATGTTGGATGTAGTATATTAAGAGGGTCGAAGACGAAAAATGTTCGTTTAAAAGGGTCGGTCTAAGGAAAAGATTGGGAACCCCTGATCTAGAGAGATAGGACTTAACGTTTATAAAAAGAAGCTGTAAACTGTATTTGTCGTTTGTAGCAAATCTGACCTTCCTGTTTGCTGAACCTATTGACAAGGAACTTAGTCATGCTGTTTTATGGAAATAGAAATTCCGGAGTAAAAGCTGTTGGGAAAGAATTTCATCCATCCTTTTGGATAAATGCTCATATTATTCATTCCGTTTCATGTTCTTAGCAATTTTTGTTTGTTATTTGAAGTTAGACTTGTTGTTTCTTAATTATACTTTTTTTTTAAATGCAGCAAAATTGACACATGTCGAAGTTCTGTCTGTACTAGGCTACATATGTGTATATGATAACTAGAAAACATCAAGTTATTTGCATATGTCTCTTAAAAGTGTGTGTATAAAATTTGCTCTATTGTCAAAAAATTATATCTTACCACATGTCGAAGTTCTGTCTGTAAACGAGGTTTTTAAAACTCACATTTTATTTCCTTTGTTCTTGTTTTAATATGATACTAAAACGTAAAGGAATTTAGTGCATTTCGAGATCTTCTTTTCAAATTACTTTACGCACATGCATTTGTTTACGCTGTTTCGAGTGGCAATGATGGATCGGCATTAGTTTTCGAGAAGAAAGAAGGGAAGCTGAGTTTATTAGCGAAAAGTCCGGTAATAATGTAGAATAAGCTTTCTCTTCAGCTTTTTGAAGGTAATGAAGTTCCGAGTTAACTGCTCAAAATACGTTGTTGGTTTGATTTAAAATCAAGACAATAATAGGTGAATTTGGTAGTCATAATTCTTTTAATGTTATTTTAAATTGAATGGAAATTTTTTCATGATGTACATTTTTAAGAGATTAAACGAAAGAAATGTAATTAACTTTTCATGAATATTCGATAACATTCTTTTTAGAACGTATAACAGGGGACAATATAAAGGCTGCAATTATATTTTGAATTTTGACAGGTACTTCTTCCCATCATCTGAGCTCTTAAATGCATCAAGCATAATATTGGTAAAGGTTTTATAATATTTCTCATTTCTTAACCATTACAACTTGCCTTTCTGCAAATTTTGACTCCTTTTTCCATTCCTTTTGGCCTCCAAGCATTTTGTATTCTTAGACTCTTGAAAGTTCATATGAACCTTTTTTCTCGTTCTTAATTTTTTCTTCGTAACTTCGAATTAATATCTGCGTATAATTTTCAAATTTTGTTATTTTTCTGGTGGGAATATGTATTTGTGAAACATAAACATGCAACAGGGAAGGCTAATTTTTCGAAAGATATGTGGAATGTTTCTGGAGGATATGTGAACTTTAATAAAAATGAAATTTTAAAGGGAAGATTTTTTGGGAGGGGAAGGAAGTTAAATTATGATAAACTATTCTTCATCAAATATGAATAATGGCGAAATGTTTTGTGTTTTGAATATTTTTATGCTAAATATCATGAATATTAGATATAGAAAAGTGCAATAAGTTAGAGCAAAATAATTAGTCCAAAAAGGCTTTGTCCCTGAGGAACTATTGTTTTCGTTTTGCGATTTTGCGTCGAATCACTCTGCATGTCCGTTTCACTTTTCAAACTGTTGCAACTAAATATTATCGCCCTGTATTATATTTGGAGAAATGAAATGCAGTACAAAGTCTGTAATCTGGACGTCCATTATCCGGAATAATGTATAATCCAGACTTCAAAGCCACAAACTTTTTTTTTGTTTGCTTTACGAATGCGCGTTTAGCACAAAAAACGAAGCAACTTAAATAACTTACATTGAAAGAAATGTTTAATAAAGTAAACAAATAAATATTAATCTCTTACCAGATTTAAATTGATGATCTATAATCCGAAGAAACCCTTAATACGGAATCGCCGAAGTCTCGACGAGTCCGGATTACGGACTTGTACTGTAATGAAGAATCTGCCTAAATGTATGTATGTTTCTCGCATTGTGATAAAACAACGGTACCTAAAGCCATCAAATTTTGATTGGCGTAACCCTACTGCGAATATGGGCATCTGGAAGCCCAAATTTATTATCGATTTCATATTTTGTAAAACTGTAACGAATACCACAGAATACCAGGTTTTTGATTAACAAACTCAAAGATTTCAAAGCGAGCAATTTCGACGTTGTTCAGAAAAAGACATTTTTATCTCCAGCGCGTGAGACTGTATCGGAAATTCTAAAGATATGCTCAATTTAAAATTATTTTGTGATATTGCTCTTGAACTGAATTTTATGGTTTAAGTGCAAAGAACATGATATTTAACAAATAAAGGTAACACACAAAATGTTAAAAAAACGCCCCTTTGGACGTAATTTAAAATCCGACGCTTTTCAAATTTTCTTTTTTTATTCGCTTTTTTTTTAAATAATTATTTACATTTTTGCGTTATTTTCTCAAAATCCTTTATGCATACATCTTTGAAAAATCCTTTTATGAGTAAATTTCTTTTCTTTAACAATAGGATAAAAAATAGCGTTGCTGGCTGTTGCAGTTCAGAAATGATGACTTCTCATTTGCAGTGCCATTTGCTTCCAGTCATATTACTGGAAATTACAAGAATTGGGGAAAGAAAAACATTTTGGAATAGAATAAAATGGCCGCGATTTTCTTGCTTATGTCTCAGATACGTGCTGCGTATTTGCTGTTATATTCATTTTAAGGTCCTTATTTAATAGAATTTAGATGAGTTCATGGATGATGGATTTCCTCTGTCGATTCAAATTTGTAATCTTATTTACAGTTACCACAAAGGGCACAATGACTATGCTGCTAAAGGTTAAAAAAAAAAAAAAAAAAAAAAACTGTTTCATAACTTATTAATATTTAATTTCGTAATCAACATTTGTTTCCTAGCTTAATTTAAAGCTAAAATTTAAAAGAATCTTCCTGTGGGTAAGGCCTTTAAAAATTCAGCATTTTATTTGAACTAGAATATAAAAATTTCTCTCCTTCCCTTTTTTATTAATAATTAATGTTTTCGATATTCCAGATGTCCGAAGGCCGCCGCAGCCAGGTGGTATTGCTAGATGAACGAAGATTAGACTTAATAATACAGGTAAAATTTTCATTTTCAATTTCAATTTCAAGTGGATATTGATATTTAATTCTTATTTGTTAATATGGAAATATTTTTTAACTTTCAATAAACGTGTACTTACTTGTTACAGGAAAAAGAGTCTCTTAGTTTATTTGCAGAATGGGAAATGATAAAAAAAAAAGTTTGGTTCTTGTTTAATTAATGGCAGTTTAAAATCCGCCACTGATTTTCCTTGTATTATAAGACAACATTGTACAATCTGTTTTTTTTTTTTTTTTTTTTTTTTGTGTGTGTGTGTGTGTGTTTTGTTTTGTTTTGTTTTGTCTCTTGATCATTGTTTTCCGTTGTTCAGTGGTAACCTTCAACATAAGAAAACCCTCTAAGTTCCATGCGACAATTATCATTTATTCATTGTTCCTTAGTTTCCTTCAAGAAATCATTGTTAATAATGATTGCTATTTTTCATTCGTTCATTTCTCACAGTAAGTACATTGCTCCTCCCCCCCCCCAAGGACAATTCTGTATCTCCCGTTCTACTGGGCCGATTGATGAAATTCAAATTGCGTTCATCATGTCTCGAAAGCTCGACTTATGATATATATTAGATTTATACATCGCGTTATTCTAACATAGGAATTCTGACACAAAATCAGACTTTTTCTGAACATATAATTTTTTTTTTTTCCATATTTCGATTCTACTACTCAAATTCTGCCTAAATACTAAATTTTGTAATTTTTGGTGAGAAATTTGTGGAGAAATTTAAAAATTTATTTTGACGGATATTTTTCAGTTTCAAATTAATTCACTTAGCGGAATTCTTAATTTATAGTAACCTACTTATTTTCCTTATTTTTCATTGATGCACGAGAGGAAAAAAGGTCCATTGTTCATTCTTTCAAATAATTTTAACAAAGTGCGTAAACCCCATTTTGGTTATTATCGCTTATATTAAACTAGAAACCCAGCGGTCATACGAAATGACCACTGTTGTAGGATATTATAAATTGATAATTAAATGATTGGTTATGCAACAGATGATCTGCTAATGCACACTGAATGTTACACAGTTCAGGCCCCTGAGGACGCCCCTTTGCTTACTGCCCCATAGGGTTTCCCCCTTCTACTTGCTTAAAGTAGAGTGCAATGAAGGAAACCACTGGCGGTACATTTCTTAAGAGCCACCGCTAGCTCAATAAATAAAGGTGATTTAAATAATAAAATGTTAAGTCACATGTCAAAGATCTCTTTGTACACAACATTTCTTGTGTAGATCTTTCCATCATTTTTAAGCTCGCGTTGCAGAAGACCATCAATTATTTTTAATTTTACGTTTGTTCTTTCACGAACTCTTGAACAAGCAACATAAAGTTAGACCGATGTCCAAATGCAGGCTCAGGTAAAGAAATGCGAAACACGCTTGAAGCGTTTGTCCCTGAGACTTATTGATGGTCATAACAAATGTAAGTTTTACAGGAATATTCTCTACGTGTCAATTGAAACGGCAACCTTGTGCCGTGGCAACATCACCCCATTGGCTAGTACAGTTACGCAAGCAACCCAATAAACTATCGGCGGAAAACAGACACTTAAGCCGCATATAATAAAGACGTTTATTTATTTCATTTTATTTGTTTTTTCATCGTTGCCGGTTTTAGTCGGTTGCAGATTTCCGAATTCTATTATATATAGATGTTAAGTTTATTTATTTAATGTTAAATGCACATGCTCTTGTATTTTTAATTTTTCCGGCTTAGATTTCTCATAATATTCGTCAAGCGCTGCACTGCACAGGAAATAAAACAATTTACAGTTACGCAAGCAACCAATAAACTATCGGCGACAAACACTTAAGCTACACATATATAAGCTATGCCAAATTTCAAAATGCACCAAAATGTAAATTCATGTATATCTTAGGACATTTTGAATAAAAAATTCTGAATTTTTGCAGATATGCTTAGAAATACATCTACTTTAAGATTATGTTAAAAATTTTATAGGTTATAATTCAAAATATTTTTCGAAAAATTATAAAAAAATATTTATAATACAAATTTTAAATAAATAATAAAAAATGTGCGAATTATGTTTGGATTAAGCCTAAATTTCGAATTCTGGAAGAAGGAATCAAGTAAGTTTAGTAAAAAAGAGATACAGTACAAAGTCCTTAATCCGGACTCGTCGTAACTTCGACGATTCCGGATTATAGATCATCAATTTAAATCTGGTAAGATGGCGTGCAGAAATTATACAATTAAAAGTATGAAATCGTAATTTATGAAATAAAGAGCAATTATGCTCTAAAGCGTTTCAAATTTTACAAAAAAAAAAAAAAAAAAAAAAAAAAAAAAAAAAAAAAAAAAAAAAAAAAAAAAAAAAAAAAAAAAAAAAAAAAAAAAAAAAAAAGCTTAATATTTATTTGTTTACTATTAAATATTTCTTTACGCATGTGCGCGCATGTGTAAAGTAATGTATACGCATTCTTTACTCGCATGCGTAAAGTTTGTGGCTTTGAGGTCTGGGTTATAGATCATTCTGGATAATGGACGTCCGGATTACGGCCTTTGTATTGGATTAATAAATATCAAATTCAATTAACATTGAGGAGCTAAAATTTTGAGAGCTAATTTCTAAAAAACTACTCGTGTGATTTTTACAAAACATGGCAGTTTGGCATAATTTAAGTCATAGAATCGAAATATGGAAAAAAAAATTGGCATGTCATTTCAGAAAAAGTCCGATTTTGTGTCAAAATACCTATACTAAAACAAAGCTATATATATCTAATACGTATCTATCCTAAATCGCGCTTTTGAGACATGAAAAACGCAAGTAGAAATTCGTTAATCGGCCCAGTAGAACGAGAGATATAAAACTGTCCCCCCCCTTTTTTTGCGCAGTGTGCAAGGAAGGAAATGTATTCAATTAACAATGCTGCAATCAAAAATATTTTCCTTACTTAGCAGTAATTTTAAAATAAGCATCTGTAGTACTGAAGTGCTTTATTCTTAGCCCCAATCCTTTCTATTAATTTTTTGTTTCTTTCCCAGGTGCATTTTAACTAAATGATTATGGTGTAAAAGATTTTCAGTCATGTCTCCGTCTATGGGAGTTTCCTGTGACCAGGGCTGTGAAGTTGGTAGGGAAAATGACCGACTCCAACTCCTCATATATATTTAAGTAAACATATGCACATGGGTTTCAGCTTATTTTTTTTTTAATATAAAAGAAGTAGAACGGGAGATATAAAATTATGCGACAGAAAAAAAAAAAAAAAACTGATGGCATAGCAAATTATTTATATTAATTAACATTTGTTATGAAATGGAAAAACTGGCATTAGTTATCTCTAAGAAACAGTATAGCTTCGGCAAGATCTTCTTTGTTGGAGGGCCATAGATCCGATTTGATAAACTTCAGAGTTGAGAAGAGTCTTTCCGCACTAACTTGAGTAGGAGGAAGAGCTGTTACTGTTAGAGCTTTACTTCTTTTAACTTTTTAGGATAGATTTTATAAGTTCTAAAAGAGGTAGCTTGCAAGCGCAATCATATTTCTCTATTTCTTCAAGGACCGTGTAGACATCTTGTTTGTATTTTTTCATTTTTATATCTAAAGGCTCTTGGTTCTTTATTTTCATTCGCTTTGCCTTAGCCTTTTCAATATTATCCAAAAATATTTCTCAAAATCTAATTCATCACTGGAAGAGGATGATAGAGACTCAATTGCAATGTCTGCAGTTTGACTGTCCTGATTCGAATTCTCCAGTTGTTCTGAGAATAATTTCATTCTTAAAGTTCATAGATGGCTTTCTTTGCCTATTTAATTTGTTCATCATCCAATAAAATTCGGTGTTTAGAATCTACATATATTGAACACAGCAAGATCTCATTGTCTAGCAAACTAGTTTCTCTTTTCATTGAAGAAATGATTCCTTCTGCAATAAACCCTCCATTTCAGAAAAAACAAACATCACATTCTTCCATTCTCGCCTCCTGTCGATTCTTCAGATTGCAGCTTTTTTTGTGGCTATATACAGTGTAGAAAGAAGTTTCCAATTCTGCAAGATCATTCCACACTCTTTTTGTTAGTGAAACATTAGGGTTATCTACATCTTCTAGAAAAGTTCTTAATTCTAACAACCTCTTTATCATCAAATATGTGCTTCCTTATCGTGTTGCTTGATCAATAATTGCTCCTTTTCCTGCTCGCTTCCTAAGAATGGCATCAATTTTGCGAGTTCTTGTTGCTTGCCTAAATTTACCATTGAAATTAGTAACTAAATGAATTAGTTTAATCATTAATGGCAAATATCACATCCATCCTCCTTCCTTATATTTATTTATTAATATGTCAATAAAATAGAAAAATAACTATTTATTAATGTATATGGTTCATAAATAAAAATAATGACTCAACTTGTCATTAATTTTTTCAATTCATTTTAATTTCATTTCAAATTCAACTATCCAACAAAAACTGGAGTCTGAGTCGCAGTCGTCCTGTTTTTAGCGACTCCAGTTCCGACTCCTTTTACCCCAAAATCAGCCCGACTCCACAGCCCTGCCTGTAACAAATGATGTATATTTAGATTAGATTTGAACTTACAGTGAGGCACAGGAATTCTCTTTTGTATCTATAGGTCATATCTGTCTTTATATCTTAAAATGTATGTCATATCATAAGGGGTTTTTTAAATCTATGCCAAAATCCTTCTTCCAGCGGTATTTAATGCTGCTGTCATTTTAGCTTTTCTTTCTAAAGCAAATGCAAACTTTAACGTTTTATATTTCTGCTTAAATATCATAATTATTTGTAGATGATTGTTTATTTCTGACTGCTTCTGCTCCAAAAGTCTGCTGAAGTTTATTTATCCTTTTACATATACGGAAAATTTTTCTTATAAAGCATGCATCTTTTCTATAATTTTATAAATAGAAATATAAAATATAAAATCTTTTCTATAATTCTATAATTATAATTTCCTATAAATATTTAATTACATTTAATTATACTAT